TGCATTTCTGGAAGACTATTTCATGGCACAAGCGTGGAATGGAGGAGGAGGAGAAAGACAAAAGATCTGTTTGTTCATCTCTTCTTTATTTTACAAATATTTATTCAGCATCTACTACAGAACTGTTGGTTAGGCATTCTTCTAGAGACTGAATATGAAAACCTCCATCTCATGGACCTTTCATTCTAAACTAGAGAGACAGAATAAACAAAATATGTGATGCGGATGGCCATCATTGTACTTAGTCTAGCAAAAGAAATAAATACACATACTTGCTGGAGACCACTATGAAGTGGCTCTGAGCAGGATTTAAAATGAACTAATTGGCTTTCTATGTTCATCTGTGAGTCTGTCCTAGGCCTAGGTCCCTTGCCTGGCTATAGGAGCTGATTCATAGTAAGTGAACCTCTATGAATCACTGGTCCTGGCTGAGACCTGTAGTGGGCTGTGAGGCCAGGATACCTCAAAAGGCAAGATAAGGCCACAGCTACAGATACTTGGCTCAAACATCAATTAAGTAGATAGAGTCTGCAGCTGCAGAAACTACTCCCACAGTCTCACTCCTACCATGTCTTCATGATAAGATGGTTCCCCTAAAATGTCATGATCCATTACTTGGAGACATCCTTGAAGTGACTCCTAAGGTCCTGCTCATTGCCTGCACTTTCCTCAGTTTCCCTGCCCCTTGTTTTGGACCTAATCAAAATGGGTGGTCCAGAAAAGTCTTTGTCTTAGCCCTCAAAGTCCTAAGCTTGGCTAAAGGGTTTTGACCCTCTTGGAGCCCTACAATCATACCACTTGTCTCATTTTATTTAAGCCTTTGCCATACACTTGTTTGGGAGATTGGGGATACTGACCTGATACATATTACTTAGAAAATTTACATATTTTGTTATAAAAAGCAAATAAACCTAAAGATACCAAAAAGAAAGCATCTTTTTTTGTACATAACCATACGCACATTTTATTTGTCAAATTACAAACAATTTTTAAAAAGAAAAGATAAGCAATGAAATAATATCACAATCATGAAAAAGAAAGAAAGCATCTTTAACAGCATATTATCTTAGCTAGGTGTGGTGATGCACACCTATATCCCCAATATTGTGAGGCTAGGGCAAGAGGATCACAAGTTCAAGTCCTGCCTGGGCAAGTTAGTAACTTAGCAAGACCCTGTCTGAAAATTTTTTTTTAAAAAAATTAAAGAAGAGTTGGGGATGTAGCTCAGTGTAAAGGCCCTAGGGACCTGTAGGGAGCCGCGCAACAGCCCCATTGCTGCCTCCCTGCCTCTCTCTCTCCTATGGGTACGATGCGTCTTGCCTACATTAACCATAATCCTCTCCTGCTTACGTCATATACCCGGACATGACAATGACCCTGCTGGATTCATCCCCATAAGCCTCTTCCTGTCCCACCAGCCCGCACTTAGCCTATAAAAGATATAATCACTTCCAGAATAAACGGGGCTTGATTGGACTCTCTCAACTTGCCTCAGTCTCTCTCTCGGTCTCCCCCATGTCTTTATTTAATCCCCATTCCCCCTCCAGGTACACCCCACTGATTGATCCGCGGGCCGGCTCAGGGACCAATTTCCAGTACTGAAGGGGAACAGTGGAAAGCACATTATTATTATTATTTTATTTTTTGTCTTTTTGAGACAGGTTCTCACTATATAGTTCAGGCATTTCATAGCCCAGGCTATAAACGAGGTCTCAAATGATTTTCCTACCTCAGCCTCCCGAGTGCTAGGTTCACCTGTGTGTGTCACCACACCCTGCTGAAGTATATTATCTTAGACATTTAAAATAGAAAAAATTAATATACATTCTAATTCTCTCAGTCCTGCTTCCCTTTATAAACTCGTTTTACTAAATTGTGCTAAAATGATAGTAACATCACAGTAGTCCCTGCAGAGTATTTCACAATGTAATTACTATTGAAATATGTTTCATCTCATAATATACAAAAAGCAGAGGTGTTCAATTAGGATATACAAATGGGAAATAAGACTTCAGCATGCTGGCACTGTTCTGTTACCTATAACCAAGCAGTCCCTTGACACTGAGACAGTCTGTGTCTAAGTTAACAGGTTCTGGTGTCAGGAAGACATCTGTTGAAACTGGATCTCTGTCACTAGAGCATAGCATTAGCTGTGAGGACCTAATCATTAATACAAAATGATTGGAAGAGTGTGTGGCACATAATAAGCACTCAATAAATGCTGCCTGTTATTCCTAAACTCACTCTCTCAAATTATTTTTTGATGTCAGAGGTCCATTTCTGCTGAACTACAAATTTTCCTCACAAGCATGTACTCACCGTTAGTGACTCCAACACTCAACCTCTTGATTAATCAAGGTCAACCACTCGTTAAACCAGTAAAGTCATGCCAGTGACTGAATTAGGACAGGGCATGTAATTCACTTTGGATAATACAATATAAGGGACTTCTGCCTCAGTGACTTAAGAAGATGTTTCCTTGTTCTGCCAGAGTGATTCAGCAGGATTTTATTTCTTTTCCACTGAACACCACCAAAAGTATAGTTCCAAAATGGTCATCCTCATTAACCTTGTGCAATTTGAGTCTCTAGATCTTCATCTGTAAAATTTGAACAAACCTTGCAGGGTTCTGATGATCATTAGGAATAATGCAAGCAGACAATCAAAATACAGCAGAGTAAACAGCTACGTGTACCATATGTGACAGCTATTTCTAATGACCCACTTTCAGACATATAATAAAATGCTTTAAAACAAACACATATAAAGTATTTCTTAATAATCTAGATCTTAGTTTCTCATGTTACTGCTTCTACTAAGATCTTACTACCCTCTTGCTATTTTCTTTGGATGGCCACACTTTCCAGCTATTGAGCAGCCTAGATGTACCCTGCTTAAGTGATTTTACTTGGTCACTAGAAACAGTTAAAGAACTACCACCATCTCGCCTATTTTAATCAGAATGCTATACTAACAGACATGTCAGTCACAGATTCACAACTCTTACTTCCTTCTTAAAAAAACATACCCAAACTTCAGCCTTTGAAAGAATTAGCTCTTGTGTGCCCTATTTCATAAGGGACCCACACATTGTATCAATTAGCCTCTCTTTTCAAGGAATTTGGCATTTAACTGCAGAAATGATAAACACTTGAACTAAATTAAAACAGCACTGAACAAAAAGGACTAAATGAGCATTAAGGCAAGGCAAACAGACATTACAAAGGAAAAAGCAAAGTACACCAGAAAGAAAAAACAAACAGTAGGACCCTTCGACAGAAACAGAGATTCATTATGGTTCTCACGTGGACCTGCAGTACTTCATATCTGTGCTGGGTGTCCCTTTAATAAATGCTATTTTATTTTGGCTATTCTGTGTTGTTTCCACTTTTGTAAGACATTCTGAAAAAAAGAGTATCAATCTCATCAGTACCAGGGCATAAACAGCAAGAAACAGATGTTCCCACAGAAATCTCTTACCAGTAACTCTATTATCAAAGAAGCCGCCTCTTTTTTACAGAATTGCTGTTAAAAATGCAGGCTCTTTGGGAAACAGGTAAGGAGAGAAAGCTAACATCTTCAGATTTTCTCTTTAAGACTGAGACAGGCTTTATTTTCAGATTAGATAAGAATTTTCACACACTCTCTCCCCTCCATTTTTCTTGGTCCATATTTTGATTTCTAATTTCCACAAAAATAAGAGTGTGTTTTGGTACATTTTTTTCTTTTTTTTTTTCTCTTCGTTTTTATCGGTACCAGGGATCGAACTCAGGACTGCCTGCTTGCAAGGCAGGCACTTATGCCGCTGAGCTAAATCCCCAGCCCCTGGTACATTTTTTTTTTTTATCTGTTGTAACCGAATACCTGAGAATACATAATTTATGAAGAATTCCAAAATTTCCAAATAACGTAAGAGCTGGCTATCCAACAACACAACTTTACATGTAGAATAATGCCCCCTTTAACCATCCATGGAGGAGTCTACATCCCAATACCCAGAACCTATGGTTACATTACGTTACATGATAGGAGAGAACTGATACTGAAGATGGAATTAAGGTTACTAATCAAATGTTCTTGAGATGAAGAGATTATCCTAGATTATCGAGGTGAGCCCAATATAATCAAAAAGCTCCCCCAGAAGAAAAAGGCAGGAGGCAATGAGGACAGAGAAATAGTATATGAAATACCAGCCCAGCCATTCTTGACTTTGAAAATGGAAGGGAGCCATGAGCCAGACTTAGAGAAAACTTTAGAAACTGGAAAGAAAAGGAAAAGAAAGAAAAGGAGACAAATTTTCTTCTAAGACCTCCAGAAAAGAACAAAGCCTCTACCAGATACCAAGTGAGATCCATTTTGGACTTCTGACCTCAAAAACTATTAGGATACTAAATCTGTGTTGTTTTCAGCCTACTGTTTGTGGCTTCTGGCAAACCTCAAACCTATGAACTCCTGTTCTCTCACCTGTAAATTAGAATACTCACAATCTTCATGATGCTGCTGTAGGTATTACTGTATTTATGAAGTACCATGCAACATCAGGGGCATCATAGATGATCAGTGAGGTAAAACTACTAATACACACACTATATTCATGTGAATAAGGTCACGAGCAAAAATAAAAAGCAAAAAATATGCACAATCTTACAAGAAAGAAAAAAAATCAACATTGGGATATAGTACCCTCTCCCTTACGATGATGTTGTTAGACAAGCTTTTCAAGGTGTTATGTCTGCAGGCAGGAGATGAGGAATAGGTAAAAGGTCAAAATCAGACATCAGGAAATCCCTGAAACTTCACGCCCATTTTTGAGTGTAATCACTTATGCTTTTCTTTGAAGAATCGAGAGCAGGCAAGGATTCCCAAAAGGTTCCTTTACAAAGAAGGGGAAGTATCTCTTAGATTATTTCCAACACTAAGCTTTTAATATTCCATGATTTTCTCATGCAGTGTCTGAAAATGTGGTTCATCAAACACCAAAATAAAACATCGAAACTCACCTAAGGCTGTTTGTAAAATGCAGGCCCCAAGCTCCATTTGAAACAATCTCTGGGAGCCACAGGAAAGTTCAATTTAATAAACTGGGAAATGGAAAAGTGCGACTATTACACATGCTGTTAAAGATTCACTGCTCTAAGGAGTATTTAATGAAACATTATATAGAAGAGACAAAAATAAATTATCTCCATCACTCAATCCTCATCACACTTGAAGCATTTGTTTTACTGTGTGACTCTGTGTAAGCCATTTTTCCCCCGAGCCTCAGGCAACTCAGAATAAGTAGGTAATGCCTACCACAAATAATCTTTTAGATTAAAATACAATCTGAGAAGTGCCAAGAACAACAATAAGCTGATAAAACAGACTAGAATTTTTAAGTTTTATTATCTACCTCCCACTCTCGCACTGATTTCCCACCCAAGCCCAGTATGCCATTTTACATACTGTACTGTTAACTAAGAACTGTGCCTCTTGTGCCTGTATAATTACCAAATAGCAATTTGCTGTATGATCCCTGTACTAAATTTTTGTTCTTTCAAGCGGATGTTTTACTTGGAACATTTCCCTTGTCCCTATCAGTGGTGCTTTAGGTATTTACAAATCAAGACTTCGAAATTATTCATCAAGTGGCGAAATCCTACTGGCCTCGAAGATCTTAGATCTCTTCATAAGGACGGCCTTTGAGACTGAATAAATGCAACTATAATAGTAGCTTCTAAATCTAAGTAAGTGTAAATCTAAGCTTTTCTCGGTCTGATACGCTTGACAACAAGAAAGGAACCTAAAATGTGATGATGTACGGCCCTGAGAAAAGAGCCTTTAAAAGGGGTCTCTCTCGACCCCTATCAACCCAAATTCCAAAGCAAGGTCACAAAACCGCCATATAAATCAAAGATCAGGGTCCCACCTTCCAAGAAAACCCTTTGCGGTATGCATAAAGTCAAGTCAATAGACACCGACCAGAGAAAGGGTGAAGAGAACTGGGAAACCCGGAACCTCCACGCTCAGATGCGGGGCGTCAATCAAGAAAGCCCTGGGCCAGGGCCAGCGCTCAGCTACACAGGAAAACTAAGTAAGCCCCAGGCACTCACCCCGCAGCCACTGTGTGCTATGAAACCATTTCCAACTAGGTCCACGGCCGACAGAGCAGGTAACAGCACCCTTAGCCAGCACCAAGCTTCGCCGGCCGGAGAAGCCCAAGAGATACCGCAGCAGAGATGGGTCACAGCCTAGCCTCCAGGAGGCCGCCATCTTCCCGGCCTTCTCCCAGGCTGCCCGCCTTACTGCCTGATCTCCAGCTCAGAGGCCCCCCCTAGGCCACGCCTCCTGTCTGACTAGCCGCGCCCCGTCGACGTCCTCACAGCCTATAGGTATGCGATGAGCTATCCTAGCATCGCCTACAACCTTCTTGGGACACGCCCCTAGTTTGGGGGCCGCAGCACCACAGACCCGCCCAATCAGCGATGCCATCCCGGCCCCGCCCCCTGTTCGATAGGCCCCGCCCCTGGGCTGCCCTTAGCACCGCCTGATTGCACGTGAGGTCTTCTAGTGTGCCAGGCACTGAGCTGTGCGGAGGGTGCGGGTCACTGTCGTTTGGACCATGTCTGGCTGCCACGCTCCGGAGGGGCACTGTTGCTCTCGGCGACGAGAAGTGCAGGTAGGAGTGGGCTTCTGGATCGCCGGGTATTCCAGGGTCGCTGGCCGGCTGTGGGGCGGGGTCGTGGGCTGTGGGGCGGGGCTTCGCTGGTCCTCACGGGGTCGCGAGTGACTGAGTGACACTGGGGTCCAGATAAGAGGTCGCTACTGGGACCTGAGCGCCGCGCTGGGAAAGTAACGGAGTGAAGAGAGAAGTTTATGGGAAGACGGGCGGAAGGAGGAATCCTCGGGTTTCCGGTGGAACTGGAGTGAACGCTGACTGCCTCAAGTTTATTTTTGCGCCCTGGCGACCTCTTTAACGTTGCTGCGCCTCTAAGCCACCGTCGTGCTTTAGAGTTGCACCTTACCTGTCCCAGCTTAGGTCATGAGATAAATTTTTTTCTTAAAGCGGGTGCAGGAGCATCATTGCGAGTTGCAGGCCATACTAAACTACAAAGTGAAACTAGACAAATTAGATAAATAATTTCGGTATGATATGATAAGCCCTGCAGAAGGGGCGGAGAAAGTTCCTTTCTAAAATAAGCATTATGCTTTTCTAAAATAACTCTTATTCTTTTCGTTACTCTGAGGACTGAAGGTCCCGAAGAGTAATAACCTCTGGGAGATGTTATTTCCACACGTTTTAATCTTTATCTTGTTTTCACAATTAGCAAAAAGAATGCCAAAAACAGACTATGGGTTGGGAAAAGATCTTAGATGTATAGGACTGTTACAGGATTTGGGAATGCTCTGACCTCTGCTAGAGGTGTTTTCTAGATTCTTTTTGTCTCACAAAGAATTGAGCAAAATAAGCGCAAAAGATCAGGAGATATAGCTTAGCAGTACAGAGCCTGCCTGGCAAGTGCAAGGTCCCGAGTTTGATTCCTATTACCAAAACAAACAAACAAACAAAAAAAACAAAAAACGCAAAAGATGAAGTTTTACATTTAGTAGAGGTAGGAGAAAAAAAATCCTCTGCAAAGTACTTTGGACCAATTAAAAGTAGAAATACACTGTACTGAGTGAGAGCAGATTACCGAGAATCAACAGTGACTTTTATTTCCTTCTCTGGGGCTGAAATCTGGCGTAAAGTCATGCCCACTTCCCCATCCCGTTTGCCACACTTCTATCTTATGACTGAGTTTTTTTGTTAGGCAGTTATGTTTGAAGGATGAGAAAAGTAAAATCAACCTGTTGGTGTATTCATTGCTAAGGTGAAGGTAATTTCAAACTGTGACTCACGTAGGGCTTTATGGAGACTCTAGCCCTTTATAATGATCCAGGTTTTTAGTGGAAGACCAAAGAGAAGATACTAAGGCAACCCTTTGCCCTGTCTTTAGAGGTGACATCACACAACTCCAGCCTTGTTTGTTGTATGGGATTATGGACCCAACGTCCATTTCTGCTGTTCTGATTGGAAACTAGAAATGTTTTGTAAAAATTTCTTGACTTTAAAATTTTAAGCATTGCACAGACAAAATAAACCACTTCTTGATGGTCTGAGTCAGTCTTCAACATCCCAGTTTGTACTGATAGAAGATTTTTCTTAATATGAGGGATGTGTTCTTAATTCACCCAGTGTTCATTAAATAAAGCACTGTGGTGGGTATAACTTACCAAGAGTATATTCCTTATCCTTCAGAGAACTGTACTTAGCTGGGGAGAAAAACCAGTTAGAGTCTATTTCTAATTTTAACTTACCTGTCACAATACCCTGTGTGTAGTGACCACAAATAAATACGATTTTTGATATTTGGTGTTACTGTCGTATAAGATCATTCAAATCTTATTCCATTTTCTTGACCTTAATAGGTCCGTCAATCTTTTCCCCTCCCCCTAGCAATTATTCCCATAAACATAGCCACCCTGCCCAACTAATGTTCTTTCACCATGCTGCTTTTTTGTGCTCCTGTAGTTCTCTGTCAGAGTTCACTAAAGGAACAGGTTTAATATAAAATAGATACTGTCCAAAGGTGATGGCAAAGACTGGAGCTCCTCTGAAAAAGCAGAAGCAAGACTTCCTTCTTTCCCTTTTGATTCCATTCAGGCTATAAGCCTGTTTGTTGGTACGACCCACACCCAGGGTGGGTCTCCTGTCTTCAGAAAATCACTTATCCAAATATCCCCAGAACTGTGCTACACCAATCTGCTAGGTATTTCTTATTGAAGTTGATACCACAATTAACTATCACAGTTTCCTCTGTGTATCCTCTATCAGAAGACTTTCTGCACTGTGTGACAGGTAAGTGCGTGCCTTTGCCTTGAATGCGTCTCACCAAGGCTCCTGAGAACCCAAATGAAGAAGAGATTACTCAGCTACATGAGTTGGTGTCTCTGCAAATATTAGAGTGTCCTATCACAGCTAGCCCCAGCACCACATGGCTGTGCCCTGGGGAGCTTCCTTCACATTTGCCTAGGGAGTTATTCCAAACCTTAACTTTCTTTCTCCTCTACCCAAAGGCTATTTCCCAGATGATCTTCTCTCCAAAATTGCAAAGCAAATGAAAGCTAATGTGAACTTTTCAACTTTATTTTTCTTCCCCAACACAGTATAATATAAGGATTAACAACAAAAGATCCAGAATAGTACTTGCCTAGGCTTAAATCCTGGACCTGCCACTTGCTATCTGAGTAGTCTTGGACAAGCTACTTAATCTTTCTTGGCATAATAAGGTTGTTATAAAGATAAAGTAAAGTAGGCCATGTAAAGCCTTGACAGTTGTACCTGGCACAAATAAACAATAGATGTTAGCAATTCTTGTTATCAGTGATACTTTTATATCTTGTCTTGGTTACTTTTCTCTGATTTCTGAGACAAAAATACCTGACACCCAAAATGAAGGAAAGAAAAGTTTATTTAGCTCAGTGTTTGTGGGGTTTCAGTTCACACTCAGCTGGTCCTGAGGCAGGGTGGCGTGGCACAGGGGAAATACTTTAAGGCAGCAGCCAGAAATGTTTTTGGATCATTGAACACAGCTGTTTGCAGTCTCTCTGTTTGAATGTCCACTTTGTATTCTTTGATACTGTGATTTGAGCAACTATTTCCAAGATGATAATATGTAATCTATTAACAGGTGATTTCTTACTGTTACGTGTTTTTTTTTTTTTTTTTTTGTAGTTTTGTATTATGTGTAACCTTACACCGCTTTGTTTTGTTTTGTGTTTTTTTCTTTTTCCTCTTAAATAAAATTAAAAAAAAAAAAAAGCAGCAGGAAAAGGGGTTGCCGGGGCAGGGTGGGGAGCAAGTCTTCTCCTCCTTTTTATTGTATGCAGCCACCCTCCTCATCTCCCAGGGCAGGTGTAACAGGCGCCAAATCTCTGCCCTCTTCTTGTACAGGACAAGGGTATTTACAAAGTAAGAATCCTGGCTCCCTGCTGAGTCTCTAGTTAAACTTCTAAAGTTCTCAAATTGACACAATGCATCTACCAAAGCAATCTTACTCTTTTACCCTTTCTCCTGTTTAAAGTATTTACTTCTGTTTTCTAGTTCCGTCTTCTCTGTGTCCACACAGACTGACTGACCTGCTGATTAGTTCTCTGCTTTCATACTGTCCCCGCAATCTCACCCACTAGCTTGTGCTGTGGATGTTGAATGTCCCCTGTGTTTTAAAGACTTGGTCCCAAGTGCGGCACTCTTGGGAAGTCACAGTACCTTTAGGAAGTGAGAGCTAATGAGAGTCTTTGTGTCATGCAGAATGTGTCCCCAGAGAGACCATGGCTCTGTCCTCTTTCTGTTCTGCTTCCTGGCAATGAGGTAAGCAGTTTACTACACCACACACTCCCTGCTGTTGCCCTCTAGCGCCCCTCACCAAACGCCTAAAAGCAGTAAGTCCACCTGGTAATGGACACATGAGCCAAAATAAACATTTTATTAATCTCAGATGGACCTCGATATGCAGACCAAGAGCTGACTACCACTCCATGTAATAGAAAATTCTCTCACGAACCACTTTCGCCTTCTGTTTTCTTGTCTTGCTCTTCTCCATAGCAACACTATTGAAAGGGTCCTGAGCATTCTGCGCTTCCACGTTTCATTCACTTTTAAATGGAAGTTAGTGATGTCTACTCTGATAGGGCTCTCAAACCCAATCCACTGAAACAGTAGTTGCTTCAGGTTGTAGTTGACTTACTTTACAAATGTAATGGGTTTTTGCCCACCTTCCTCGTACCTTTACTGAGCAGCTGAGCATTGCTGAGGCTGTTTGCAACAATGCTGTGTTGCCTCCCTTCATACTCACAAGATCAACCCCAAAGCAGCACTGGACACCAACACGCCTCTTCCCTTATAGTTGGAGCTCTAAAGTCCCACTTCCTAAACGACTACTTTACACTTTCATTCTCCTGTCATGCCTGTAGCAGCAGGTCCCCCCACCTGACTTTGTTTATACTTAAGGAAATAGAAGTGGTTAGATAAGAACATCTCACCTTTCTAGCACAAAACCAGTCTGCTTAAAAATGAACCCAACTTCTCATTTCACAAATGGAAGCAACTCAGTTCCTGCCCTAGAACTCAGCATCTGTAGAATGTTCTCTGGAAGTTATTTCTCTCCCTTTCATGTCTGTCTTACCATTAATCAGTTCCTTACTCATCACACAGCTCTCAGACCCAGGAGT